GAGGGAAGGTGCTTAGCCGTTTTGCGGCTTGCCTGAACGAAATCCGGACTTTCCTTGAAATGAAAGGCGTCGGGCATCCTGAGCTAGCCGACACCGAGTGGCTCCTCAAGTTTTACTATCTCGTAAATCTGACTGAACATCTGAACCAGCTCAACGTGAAAATGCAAGGCATTGGAAATACAGTGTTATCCCTTCAACAAGCTGTATTTGCTTTTGAAAACAAGCTGGAGCTTTTCATCACGGATCTTGAAACAGGTCGTTTACTACATTTTGAAAAACTGAGCCAATTTAAAGATGCATGCACAGCAAGTGAGCCCATTCAAAACCTTGATCTCCACCAGCTAGCTGGCTGCACATCCAGTCTCCTACAGTCCTTCAAAGCACGCTTTGGAGAATTTCGTGAGCACACTCGTCTTTTTAAGTTCATCACCCATCCAAACGAGTGTTCACTGAACACAGCCGACCTGAATTACATCCCTGGTGTCTCCGTCAGAGATTTTGAAGCAGAAGTGGCTGACCTGAAGGCCTCAGACATGTGGGTGAATAAGTTCAAGTCACTGAATGAAGATTTGGAAAGAATCACACGACAGAAAGCGGAGTTGGCGAGCAAGCACATGTGGACAGAAATGAAAAAACTCCAACCCGAAGACCAGCTGATTCTCAAAACTTGGAACGCGCTTCCTGTCACATACCACACACTGCAGCGTGTGAGTATTGCTGTATTGACCATGTTTGGATCTACGTATGCATGTGAGCAGTCATTCTCACATCTTAAAAACATCAAGTCCAACCTACGATCACGTTTAACGGATGAAAGCCTCAACGCTTGCATGAAGCTTAACCTCACCAAGTACCAACCCGACTACAAAGACATCAGCAAATCCATGCAGCACCAGAAGTCGCATTAATGGTGAGTGTTATAACAACATTATTTAAAAGAATAAATTCAGAGGCTTATTATACTGACATTTAGTTGAATTCACTTTTAAAATATATTATATGGCTCTCACTGAAATAAATTTCCAAATTTTTTGCTTTCATGGCTCTCTTAGTCAAAAAGGTTCCCGACCCCTGGTTTACAACATGGAGTATACTAGGGCTTCGCAGCTGTCTCTCTCCCCCTCCTCTGTTCCGACCATGGACGAACTCGTGAACGGGGCCCGTAGCTATCCGTGGTACGGAAATTTGAGGGTAAGAATCCACCCATTTTTTCGCCATATAGCATTGTGATATATAACGACTTATGGTTGGTAGCTTAGCTGATTGGAGAATATAGAGTTTATTGATAACATGAAGGTAATTTATATTTTAGTTTTTATTGGTTCACTATATAGTACTGTGAATAGCTCAGATGTATAGTCATTTCTGTGACCAGTCACTAGCAAATCACCCAGTTATTTCAATGCTAAATTCGCCTAGTTATTTCAATGCTAAATTCTCCTGTTTTGATTTGTACTAAGTGCCTCGGTGAATGTGTATGCTCTGACTTCAACGTAACTATTTCTGTAGCAGTTACAAGCGAATGCCTTAATTTAGCTATTTCAATCCTAAATTCTATGCTAATTCCTTTTAACAATGGGTGCCTCTGCGGATGTGTATGCTTTAACTTTTAACATAGCTATTTCTGTGACCAGTCACAAGCTAATCATTCAGCCTTTTCAATGCTAAATTTTATGCTAATTCCTTCGTCAAGACTCTTTGTTCCTCTCACACAGCTTAAAAGCCGCGATCTGAACGTGGCTCTCTCACTCCAGCGCTGTCCTACCAGACAGTCTCGCTCCCTTCACCTGATGAAGGCCGCTTGTGTTGTGGCCGAAACGTCGTGAGAATATTATTCTGTTATTTTATTTTATCAATTTATTATTTTATTCTCATTCTACGTGACTTTACCGAAAGAACCAAAGAAGATGAATCATTGCAGTCACGAAAGCTTTAAATCGAAATCCATCTATATTCTTAGTTCTTTCGGTAAAGTCACGTTGAAGGGAAACAAAAAAATAATATTTTATTATTTAAATATTTTATTATTTGTTGTTTCCCTTCAACGTGACTTTACCGAAAGAACTAAGAATATGAATTACTGCAGTCACGAAAGCTTTAAATCAAGAGTCCATCTATGTTCTGAAAAGAGGAGGGGGGAGACGACAAATTAATGTATGCTGTCTGAAAGCCACTGTAAGCGTGAACAATCAAGACCTGAAATGGTTTATCAAATCTTTCCAATGATTGCTAAGCCAGAATCCATCTTCTCGGTTGAAATTGTCTCTGTGCTTGTATATGTGGATAGCCTCATGAACGAATCTCTCATGGTAGCCAGATGGCTTACAAAGAACCTCTCTCTTTGAAAAGTCAATGTCATGTGAGCCTACTGAATTATAACAATGATCTGCCACGGCCGAGGTGTTGGTCCTACCGTGTTTAAGGTCTGCTTTGTGTTCACGAATGCGGTCCGAGACATGGCGTTTGGTTTCTCCAATGTAACTACTACCACAGAGGCAACTTAGCTTGTAGACACCCAGGGTACTGTATGTCCGGAATCACATCTTTTACAGACGGAACCAGATCACGGATTTTATGTATTGTGTTGAATCGGACCTGGATCTTGTATTTTAACAACGGATTTAAAATAGATTTTAAATATTTGTAGATTAAGTGCCGTGGAGAATAAAGCGTAACAAATTACACAAGCAGACAATTCGTTCCCTTCACGACTCGTCCCTCCGCGTACATTTTTTTTACACATCCATCAGCCACACGGCCTTCCGTGTTGACTGGTGGTGCACAAATGTCATAATAGAGTCCTGTAAACCCAACTCGTATAAACACCTCAACGCATTCACACAATAACCCTGCCTTCGGTGAATATACTGTATACATGTCTACATGTACACATTTCTAGAATTCGATAAACGCGTTCACGTATGTACAGTACTGTATGTTGAACTTCTTTAGCACCGTACGCAGCCAACCATGCTGATCGCAAGGCAATTGAGAGACGTGAGGCCTCCATCCAGCAGTGGATAGAGATCACGACTGATTATTAATCGTTATCCCTGTATATTCCCATGAGGAGCTGCCACAGCGATTCGATTTCCCGGCGCGGCAGTTGAAACGACGATCCGCACCACCCACCTCTCGTGGCTCGACACCGTGCTGTTTTAAAGAGGTTCACGGCGGTCGATCTTTAACGTGTGGTGGGGTAAAGTGTGGGTACCCCCCCCCCCACCTCCTGCGACACGTGTGAACAACGTGGAAGAGTAGACCAAATCCTGTCTAGGGCTGCCGCAAGTGGAGGCCCCTTGCCCCAGCAGTGAGATATGTCAAGGCTGCACATTTGTCTGTACACGTTCATTAACAACCTTCGTTTGGGATGTAAAATAAAATGAGTACAGTACAACATTTAAGAGTTTAGCGTAGCTGCGCTGCGATCACGGGGATCCCGCTCACGGCCAACACCAGTGACGACTGTCGAAGCCGGTGCTGTCTCCCCTAGGTCGACTCGGCCTCAAATGAGTGCTTGGTGTGGTGTGTAAACATCGCCACTGGGGAAGACAAAGGCGGCCGGGCGTGGTGCTGCCGTGCCGACCTTCACAGGTGCTGCTCGCTAACAGCACTTGCCCCAACAGTCTGTTCGGGCTACACGGGCGACCTTTGTCGATGGGAAGTTCTAATAAATGCTTGAAAGTGACTCCACAACGGCGTCTCTGAAGTGGAGAATTAAAAAGTGTGAGGCCACACCTCTGGGAATTCACCCGATTTACCCCAAAATGTTACTTTAAATAGTTGTTTTTAACTCTCTAATACCTGTGTTTCCAATTATTAGCTGTATAGCTGCTGGAATAGAGCGGTCTGGATTCTGTGCTGTATCTTTCAAGACACACAAAGATGAATGTACAATAATGATGTCCTTGATGATTTTCATCTCTGGATGATACCATTCCCATCTGCACAGAGACACTGGGGTAGATTGATTTGTGAAATAATTCTCAGCATTAATTGCGACTGAATTTATTTCCCCACAAATGTAAACATAAAAACATTCACATTCTTGGTTCTTTCGGTAAAGTCACGTAGAAGGGAAACAATAAAATAATACAAATATAAAACAATACAATTATTGCTGTGGTTTTCACACCTGATGATGATTGCTTGTGTTGCAGTCGAAACGTCGTGATAATTTTATTGTTTTATATTTTTATTGTTTCCCTTCTACGTGACTTTACCGAAAGAACCGAGAATATGAATCCCTGCAGTCACGAAAGCTTTAAATCAAAAAATAAAAACAGTTTTTTTTACGAAAGCATTGTTCAAGATAGCAGTCATTTTTAGTCTGCTGATGGTCGGCGATGCGTCAATCGACTCATCTCGACGAGCTGTACACGATGCACTATTAAAAGTTGAATTTTTCGTTAGCGGATTTTTTAATGCTAATGTTTGGCATTTCGACATCGCGAAGTAGCACTGATTTCGGATTGATTGATACCACAGTCGCGGAGTTAAGTACAGCCCTGGAAAAAAATGTCCCAGAAATCAAACGCATTCCTGCAGAGGGAGCTGGTAGGAACGTTGGTTTGCTCGGTCAATGGCCAGGGTCAACGACGGCACCACGTGGTGGATTCCGCAAATATACCGGATTGTGAGGGCGGGCACAAGCCGGCGTGAGTAGATGAAACGTTGAGTTTTATAAGGGCACCACGGGGTGACCAGCCCCTCCCCACCCAGCCCCACCCCCCCACCCAACCCCTCCCAGCCCCACCCTCCCCACCCAGCCCCGCCCCTCCCCACCCTCCCCACCCAGCCCCTCCCCACCCAGCCCCACCCTCCCCTCCCTACCCAGCCCCTCCCCACCCTCCCCTCCCCACCCAGCCCCACCCAGCCCCTCTCCACCCAGCCCCACCCCTCCCATTTTTGGATGCACGACGGACGGACACAATAATCCCCTGTGGGCTGGTAGTGTAACCAGGAGGTTCCTACCAGTAATATTTAATTGCCTCAGCCATTTTGTATTATTTGGTACCCCGGGGACATCGCCATGAGGATCATATGTTCAATCATATATATTTTAAGAGAATTATAAAGTTATGTTAAATTCAGAGGCTGATTTGATAAAGTGCACTACATACAGATTCATAAAATCCATGGGCGCTGGTTCACTTGCATGCAACACTTTACCACGGTGTAATTGGAAAATCTAATTAATTGTAATACTTTTTCATATAGATAGGCTTCCTCCTGTCATAGGAATGTTGAACGTATACTACTAGTCACTGAAACTCGCGATGATGAATCGATGTAAATATGACATCCTCTGTACATTCTTGACCTAACCGTGTTATACTTTTTCCTACCTCATGTGTCGTAACTTGATACCCTTAGCCTAAGCAATAAGTTAACCTCAGCACATTGCTTTCAGTTGAAGTGAACAATTTGGTGACGCTGCTTGCGTTGGCAGTGGTGCACAAGCATGATTGACAACAGCTAAAACTCAACAAGTTCGACAATAACACTGTGGTCTTAAAAAAAAATCGTTATATGATAGGAGAGGGTTCAGGCAATGGCCCTTCACAGCATAGAATGAGGTCATTTGAATAAATTATTGAACATATCAGCACTGCTCTATTCGCTTGGTTAGATGCAATGAGCGTACCGCATTTATAATTTTGGAAGGTTGCAGGATGGGGAGGAGGAGATGGGTGACATCAGGGATGAGGTTGCAGCGTGAAAGTGGAACTGCCCAAGGAACGATGGAGGGAAGGAGTGGGGCATCGTGCCCGCACGGGCCGCGTTCACAAGGAGCCTGTGGCAACAGCGCAGAGACTCACTACTCATCCAGCAGTGGGGCGAACATGACTCACCACCATGGAGGGTATCCAATACACTCCAACTACCGTTTTGGTAGTGCTGTAGAAGCGTTGCTGTAATTGCTGTATGAACAACCACGTTTTAGCAATGGCTCTTCTCCTGTAAAAAGGGTAATGGTCAGTAATATTAGCTTATTCTCGTTCAGTTATAACCGGAGAGGCAGTGTTTCTTGTTGATTATGATTAATGAAAGGTGATAAAAGCTCTAACATTGGGGGGGGGACAGGAGGGGGCTGAGCGCCCCCCCCCCCCCATTGCTTAAGGTTCAGACTGCCATCACATGTTTATAGTCAAGTAAAAAATGGTGGTACTGCACTATTTTGTATATACGAGCCAAACCTCATATGTATAGAGGGTGAGAATTAGAGCATACTGTGCTATACAGATCATATTGTTACTCGTTCTGTCTCCAGTTTATATTTGCTTCAGGCTGACCATTGGCTGGGTCATGCCCCCCCTTCCGCCCTGAGGGTTTTTTTGTGTCTCCTCCTGCCCCAATTTAAGTAAGCTCACACGACAAGATTGAGTGATGAAGAGTAATTGTGTGAGTGAGTGAGCGCCTGTAACCATCACTGGTCACTTGTACAATACAACTCAAGTTTGAATATCCCTTCATTTCCTGTCTAAGTCGATGTAAAGTAAGTCCACCTACTCAAGGTGTGTTATACAGCTAGCAGGGTCTTGTACATTAGCCTCAAGAGGCCTGAATGTGTACAGATCCTTTCTTCAGGTGAAGTGCGCAATATCTCTCCTTGTGGCAAGGCCGGAGTGGCCTGTTCACTTGTGGTCGGTCAGAATACCACTTCACAAAGCACGCACGCCCGTTGCCACGTTATCAATAATGTACGCCGTCCAACCCGGGGCATTCCTCTCTGAAAACCAAAGCTCGCGTAAATAATTTACGGGGTAGCGGAAATAAAGAAAGGAAGCAAGAAAATAAAACACGCGATCGTACTTCGTGGAATTCCACCGACACTTTGACTAAACTCCCCCCCCACCCCAAAAAAAAAACAACCCTCCCGTCTGTCCGGGCGCGTTCCAGAGCGTGACACATAACACCCGCTTTGTGCCCCATCGCAGGTGACCACGAACGTTCTCAGCTGCCTGGTTCCTGCGTGCGCTTCGTGGCACTGCGGCGCTGACGATGTCTCCCGTTACGCTGACACGCCCGGCCCCACAGAGTGTTGTGTTTCGATATTCCCTAGCAATGACGGCCCCCCCATGGTCCCCTGACCACGGGGACGCTTGGAGACAAAACATTGCCCTGGAAGGCGGCCGCGTGTGAGCACCATCTGCAGAGTCGACAATGGCATCGAGAGGGCAGGTGCGTGCGTGTGCGCTCCAGCAATAGCCCCCGAGGCGTCTGCTCGCCCGCCCGTCTGCCCAGCCACACCATGGGTGAGTTCGATGTTGATGCTCAGTGTCGCGTTATGCGTGGGTTTTGCTCAGTTCCACCATCCGTGAGATGAATACTTCATCCGTGTTATTTTCTGTAGAGTATTTTTTGCGTGGCCTTGCTAAATCCCTGCCACTCACGGGTAAAAATGTCACTTTTGTTGCTCAATATGTAGCCTCACCAAAACTCTCATAATCATCAGCCATTTTCTATCCACTGTTAGATAAAGGCCTACCATCTCTCACGGTCCAGTGCTGCTACCCTCCATACCGCTCCCACAAATTAACTGATCTCATTACTCAATCTCCTCTGTGGTCGCATCCTCTCCTTTGGCTGCCATTTCGTCTCACCTGCCTCGTCAATCGACGACCATTCTGCCTAGCGATGTTACCTGTCCAAACCTCTTTACTCTTCTCGGTTGTTCGTATCATGTCTCCGATTTGTTTGTTTCCTGAACCAGGAAATCATTAGAAAGAAAAACTTTACTCCCGTTACCTGATGATAATGCAACCGGCTCACTCGGGCAAACGTAATCTTAGATGCGCGCCATGTGTCGCTAAGTTGAAGTCAGTGTCATTGTCTTCTCAGGTTCCCCTACTTGAGTTTTTCGTGTTATATATTTTTGTTTCCTCTTTTGTGGGGCAAAGAGGCCTTGATTGCCTTGTAGGCTTGAGCAGTGGTACTGGATAGGGGCACCCATGTCAGTCAGGCACCCGGCAATAATTTTCATTGAACTTTCAAAGTGTAAATGTGATTTGCGTTTGTCTGCGGGTGTGTGGGTGTGTACCTAACTCATGATTGCAGGTTGTGAGCACGAGTGGTCGGTGGATAAGTCAAAACTAAATGACAAACAGCTCCATGCACTGCGTGGGCCATTGTAAATCAAACACACTTTGTTTTTACACAACACTGAATAAAAATGACCTTTATTGAAAGCAAATTACATATCTAAAAGCTCTTAATTTAGCACAGCTATCAACATTGGAAAACAATCTTAGACTGGCAATGGTGGCATTTGTGATATTATTGATGAAATGACGACGCTGTGGCTGCTGCTGCTTGCTCATGATAATGAATTTCAACAGTGGTAATATTAGTGCTGTTGATGGCAATACTCAAGATGACTTTGGTCTGCTACACCTTTTGTATGGCGTGGAGTTTATCAGTAACGTTTATTATCGTGTGTTCATGTCGAGGTTGGTGATCCGGTGGATGGCTTCAGGAGTAGCTTAGTTAATATTTTAAATGTTGCTGGCGAATATTCGAAGTGGGCATGAGTGTACTATGTAGTCCATAATTTGAAATTGGTGACTGCGGTCACACTGTGGGCTATTCATACGGTAATGGTCATCTGTTGACATGTCCCAAACAGACTCCCACGAAGTCAGGGACTCGGTGGAGCCGACGGATCGGACCTCGCACTCAGACACGACACCGCAAACTGCCAGCACCTCCTCCCCAAAGCGGCCACACCACAGCCCCTCTCCAGACCAACGTGAAACCTCTTTATATGGAGAGGAGAGCACAGAGGGCATCTCTATGCACAGCAGAGAGACACAGCTCAACGGTGCTTTGCATCCGGCTCAGAGCACCAGTAGCAAGAAGCACGTCAAGTTCGATGCCGAGTCCGTGCAGAACGGCCGCGTCCGCCGCAAGAAGGACGCCGGTGGTGATGACACTCCCAAACCTCCGGCCCCTCCGCAGCACGGCAACGGCACGGGCGGAGAAGGGGATGGCGAGGCGCAAAGGGCGGTGAACCGGCTCACGCAGCGGGCCAGCTCAGAGATGGCAGACGGCAAACCCGAGCGCGCCCTGGCCTCCTTCCGCAAGGCGTACGAGCGCTCAGGACAGCTCGCCGAGCCGGTGGCGAGGGCTGCGTGCGCCTTCAACCTGGGCGCGGCGTACGTGGCCGCAGACCAGGCTGACAAGGGCCTGCAGTACCTGCTGGAGGCCCAGGCGGCAGGTGAGGCTCGCAACGTCGGAGACCGCTGATGGAATTCACTCCCCTCAGTGACCGCTTCGTTGTATTTACTTTTATGCTTTCCAACCAAGTTTGAGAGTGTTTTTTTATGTGTTTGTTATGTCCATCCTTTCCATCCGTAACGGTCAATGCCTCCACCGTTGAGAAGGCAGCCATCGACTGAATGGTCTAGTAAAAGAGTTAGTGCCTGATTTATGTGTGGGTATAAAGGCTGTTTTCACCAGTATACGAGAATCATGCCCATAAAGTTTAGTACTTGAGCTGAAGTTCATCTGGCTGTATATTCATCATTTATTGATTTAGGTGGCCAAGTTTCTCAGGGGCTTGATACCACATTCAGAGCGCTTGGCTGACACTGCAGAGATACTTTGATCGAATTTGGGTTGGTGCCACCTGAACCCATACCCTAGCAGTATTCTCAAGTATAATGAGCTGAAGGTCTTACCAATTAAAACATTTATAGACAGCACAAAAAGGCATAATATTCAATTTGAGTTGAACAAGGTAGAATCACTGCTCACTGTGACAATTCTGTATTTGTTTCTTGACATGATACACCGATGGCATAATTGGAACATTATCGAGATAATGATTTGTCAATTTCTGAAATGAAGACCAGAAACAAATGTAAAGTGTTGGGCCTTCCCAACACTTCATGGCAAAATTCACTCTCACACGTAGGCTTTTGCAAGCAATATTGTTCAGAAAAGTTTTTGGTTAGATCGCGTAATTATAAATGTGTTCACAATTCTGGCAATTTGCCTGATGAAGCTGGTTGTAATCACCATCAAAACCTCGTACTCAAATTGTAAATGTTGTGGGTTTACTCTCCAAAACACTGGTGTGCTGCAGTAGTAACTAATTGGCACGTTTTGTTCACGTGACAAACCTTACTAATTCGCTGTGTCAGATGGAGGTGGGTTAACAACACATTTATATTGACGCGGTCTAACCCAAAAACCTTTATTATGAAGAACTCACTCTGACAAGTCAGTGACCAAATCTGCACAATCTCATGATAAGAATGGTATTTTTTCCCAGATGCCACATTGCATTGTAAGAATCTTTTTCAGAAAGGCCTGGCTTTGAGATATTCTGCCAATTCCTTTAGGAAGTGGTTTGTGTGTGGGAGGAAATCAGAGCAACCAGACAAAACCCACACATGGAAGACAATAACACTAAAAAGTTTACAAGGACGGGCTCAAATACCCACTTGCTGTACTGCCGTCTACATTACAATAATATCTTGGCACCTCAGCTTAATTTGGGGTGCCAAGGTGGCGAGATGTTAACTACCTCACTTGGTATGCAGGAGGTCGTCGGTGCGATCCCAACCCTGACGCCTTTTTATATTTCGTATTTGCATGTTCTCCCTGTGGTCCCGTGGATTTTTCTCCGGGTTCCTCTGGTTTTTCCCTCCACATTTAGAGACGTGCTTTTAGACTATTTGACTGCTATAATTTTTCACATGATACGCTATCATTTGTGGCCATGCTGCTTCTGAAAAAGAACTATGTAGCTCAGTGTGCTTTACCGGGTAAAATAAAACGCAGTTTCGTTTTTAGTTTAATTCGCTGGGAAGTTTCACAAACTTTTGTGATCCTCCAAAACCCTCGCCTCCAAAAGCACCGGATCATGGGCGTGTACCACCACCACCCGTGGATCTCAGTCGATGGTTGCCGCGTTCCTCCCTGTGCATGCACCCCTCGTGTCCTGCGGAAGGGTCCCAGGACCGAGACCAGCGCGGGGACCTACTCTTCAACCTGGGCGTCGCGTACGAGGCGCTGCACGACCCTGCCAGCGCCGCACGCTGCTACGAGGACGCGCTGGCCCAGTACCGAGCCGACCAAATGGGAGGCCAGGCCGACGCACAGGTACGCGACCGCTCGCGAGGGTTTGCCACCTGTCCTGGTTTTTCCAGAATCGTCCTCTTCTGAGATCTGTCTTCTCAGGAGCATTCAGAGTCGGGGTGTTTTGCAGTTGCATAATGATAACACACCACTCAAGACGATGCATTGACGTGTTGTTCTTCGCTCTGCCCGAATTGCAATATTTTCTGCCCTGTATGATACGTCCCAGGTTTTTGTAGTGCAGAGGTTTGCAACCCTCATGCTCGTGGGGACTATCAAACCCTCAGTCATCTCCATACGAAGACCCAGGCAGAGTCGAGATTATTTGGCTGCTATAAATTTCCACGTGACAAACCACTTCATTGAGCTATCATTTGTGGTCAGATCTCTTCTGAGAAAAGAGCTACATAGGTCAGTGAGCAACATCTGGTAAAATAAAACAATTGTTTAGTTTAGCAACACCGTATGTACAGTTATTTTGTCAATCCACCGATGGATTTGGTCCTCCCCATGCCATGGAGATTCTGGGTGGTTTATTTGACCATACTTTACCAGTGCAAGTTGGTCACAAAGTGGCAAGACAAGTAAACATACGTGAGTGAGAATCGCCTAAAAGTGGCACCGTCGTAATCTCTGTACACGACAGTGGTGGATCCAATGGGGGGGGATTCACCCCTGCCCCCTTATGTCACAAAACATTGGTATTTTATTTATATTAACCACAGAAAATACGTTGGGTTAATAAAATATATTTTTAGGCTGGAACCTGGTTTCAAACATTAAAATTTTGTGGAGCCCCCCACAACCTCCCCTCCTCCCTCCCTGGGAAGTTCTCAGACTCACCTCTGGTACTCAGGCGCTCGGGCACCGTTGTCTGCTGCAGGTGAAGCTGGGTCAGTGCTGCATGCAGCAGGGCGAGGAGGCGCGGGCGGCCGACTGGTTCCTGGCGGCGGGACGGAGTTACCGCTGCGCGGGCCGGGCCGACCAGGCGGCCGAGGCGCTGTGCGAGGCCGGCGCGGCCCTGCTCCGCTCGCCCGCCACCGCTGGCACCGCCGCGGTGTCCGTGCTGGAGGAGTGCCGCTCCGCCTGTGTTCACGTCCGTGACAACGACGCGCTGTTGGGTGAGCCACGATGCCGTAGCGGCTGCGATTGGCGCCTCCCTGGTGCTGTCGAGAAAAAAAATATATCGGCTGCTTACCGAAAAATATTGCTGCCCACAATTTATATATTTTTCAATTTCAGTCAACGATGACTATAAGTGGATGTAAATCACCAAACCTGATGATAGCTACGATTACTACCCTCCAGGGACCGAGGCGCTACTATTATGAGATTAAATTAATGAGTCTAAATGAAGATGCAGACTTAAATAATTTAGGAACGTTATTAGACTGCAGTGCGCTTTAGAAGACTACAATAATTATTGGCTACAATTATATACAGATTTACTGAGTTTACTGATTGTCTGCCCGGATAATATTGGGGGAATTCCCCACCCCACAGCAAAATGTAATAACTAAGAGCATTTGGCTAACGTTTGATTGCTTTAGTCAATTCAACTTAGAGAATGACTCCACTAAAATTCCATAGGTTGTCACCAACTAGACCAAGACTGTGACTAAAACTAAATATTGTGACTAAATTAACACATCTCTAGCCTGCCCCCCCTCACCCCCCACCAACCCTCCGGTATCCCAATTCCCTCCGCCAGCGCGTCTCTACAATGAGCTGGGCCTCAGCTTCTCGCAGCTGCAGCTCTTCCCGGCCGCCGTCGACTGCTTTGAGCGGGCGCTGCCACTGAGCGAGGGCGTGGCGGACGCGGCCCGCCGGGCGGCCGTGCTGCAAAACATGGGGGCCGTGCGCAACTCCCAGGGGCAGTTCCAGCTGGCTCTCGCCTTCCACCGGCAGGCCGCTTCGCTGCACGGTACACGCCGCGGTGGCCCCGCGGTTCCAGATGACGTTTGATTTATTGTGTGACGATTTTGACGCGTCTGGTATTTTTTTTCACCGTTCTCATTCTCTCTAATCTGGGCATTTCCGGCACTGCTTTATCCTGGCTCCAATCATATTTCCCTTCACGCTCATCCTCGGTCTCCTTCAATCACCCCTGCACCCTTCCTTCACCCGTCACAGCAGGTGTTCCCCAAGGCCCTGTCTTGGACCCCCTTCTCTTCTCTCTCTACATCTCCCCTCTCGAAACACTTGTCTCTCCTCCTTTAACTTCTCCCGCCATTTCTTCGCTGACGACATCCAAATATTCTTATTTTCTCCACTTTCACTCCGGACCTCTCTTCTCGCATTTCAGCCTCTCTAACCGCCCTTCAGTCTTGAGTGTCGTTCCACTTGTTTGCCATCAACCCTTCTAAAACCTAGGTTCTCCTTTTCCTCGCTGCTCTTTCCCCTCCACCCACCCGCACCATCACCTTCCCACCCTTCTCACTCACCCCTGTCCTCTTCCCGCAACCTTGGTGACCTCTTCGACTCCTCCCTTTCCCTCGTCTCTCACATCTCCGCCATCCCCGCACCTGTAGTTTCCACCTTGTAAGCATTCGCAAAATAGTCCTCTCATCACTCAGTCCAACGCCAAACTACTAATACACTCGCTCATCTTCCCTCGGTTAGACTACTGTAACACTCTCCTACTCGGTCGTCCAGCCTATGCGTTCATTCCACTACAAAATATCTAAATGCGTCAGCACGTTTCATTTACAACCTGCCACACTGCTCCCGCACCTCCGCCCTTCTTATAGAAATGCACTGGCTCCCCATCTAGCCCCACCGTACCTTACTTCCCTTGTCTCGTTTTATGTCCTCTCCTGCCCACTCCGCTCTCAATCTCTCCCAGCACTCCTAACCATTCCCTTCTCTCCTTGTGCGCAATCTCGTTTCCGCTCCTTTTCCCTACTGGAACAAACTTCCCCTCCACATTAAGTTTTTGCAGTTTCAGTTTTCAGTTGATTTATTTTGGTATAGCCCTGTGAGCTATTCGGCTCTTGAATCGGGTGCAACCACAACAAACAAACAAAAAACACGAACAAGAAAACATCTTAAAGTGACTATGTGTTGACTGTGCAAACAGAAATTCCATGAAAAAAAACAGCAATATATTCCTAAAAAAAGCACCGTACACCAACGCTGTGTGCAAAAGATCCCAGTGGGATGCAAGTCAAATAACAACAACCACAAGGAAACTTAGATTAAGGCCATCAGTCTAACTCCGTACTACAACAAAACACTTTGAAACACACGGCGTGTATCTTACAGCGAAGCAAGCACCCTTTCTGTCCAGTTTCCGCTCCTCCCTCAAGACCCACCTCTTCTCCCTGGCCTATCCTTACCCCCATCCCGAGGTACCCCGTAATTCCCGTACTCACTCACCTCCCTCCCCATATCCCATCCATATTCACCGTATCACTTTTAGCTCCCCTCATTGTACCAATGATAACCCTTGTAAAGCGCCTTGGATAAAAGCACTATATAAATATAAGATAAGATAGTGTAACGCTATCACGAAAATGCTGTATCGCAGAGGTAATCTTGCAGTAGTGTCACAGTCAAGGGCGATGTAATGCAACATCCCAAATGAGTAATTTGCGGTTACTCTGTTTTAATTGGCAAATTTGGAACACGATATCCGCGTAGAATGGCTTATTCATTTAGAATTACATCGCAGGATCTTTAACAGCGACTTTGAAGCACTCGGCGTGTATCTTACAGCGAATGCTCGTGCAGTATTAACCAGGGCAGCTTTTCTTATTTAAACAGCGAACTGCTGCAACTAGCGGCAAACGCAGTACTGCTGGGCCACATCACCGCCCCCGTAAAATAAGCTGCATACATGGGCGTTTAACACTATGTAAAATGAACACGCAATAACAGTAATGTGCCCTGCGATTTCACTGAACGGTTTGGATTCGCACTCGCGATGAGGGAGCAGCTACATGGTTAAAGTAACATTAAACTGTAAGCCTAATGAAAAAATATGGTAAATCGTTATTCTTAAATATAAGGCGTTTTTATTTTGATTCATTAGCTTATGATACATGCATTGTAGTTCACAAATTTCTGCAGCACAAAATGTATTTTTTAAGTATTGATATAAATAATTTGCTAATATTTATGTTTCTATGCATGTATGAATATCTAGATAAACCATCCTAGACCACTCCACCAAATTAAATGAATGAGTAATTTGAAAGATTTTGTTTAATTGTTTATGCAAACAGATTCGACATTACAAACAAATGTAAGTTTATCCAAATTCCTTGGCGTATTGGGCCCTTGCCCTGCTTATCCACTTTACTAATTACATTAGCCTGGTGCATAACGTGAGACCAGTATCCCAATTCAAAATCATATAATGGATAGGCATTAGGCATTGGGTAGGTGTGTGGGTGGGCAGTGCTGTTGAAGGTCAAGTGAATGTCAAGTCACTCCGTCCATAGGAAATTCTGCCCACTAGCGGTGTAACATGTCATGTCCACAATTTAACAAGAGTGGCACGTTCGAACTTGTCCTGGGTCTCCCCTATATGGACACAGCCTTAAATGAGTGCCTTGTGCACTTTGTAAACATCAGCACTGGGAAGACAAAGGCGTGGTTCTTGCCACACACCCACACTCTCCACACCCCTTGTGCACCCTGCCAAATTTAATGTACACATACAGCCCTTTTGTCATTCCACTGCTGGATGAGGTTCTCCCCACGACGTGCGTGTCATGGGGGTTATTTGTTCATACTTTACCTCCTGCAGCCAGACTTAATCATCAGTCCTCGATTACAGCGCTTGTGCAACAGTCTGTACTGTGCGGCAGTATGGGGGGCTAAGCCTTTGTATGCGAGCGTTTGCACTTGTCCCCAAAAGTCTGTTGGGGGGGATCTTTGCCTTGCGCATGTTGGACGATGCAGGTGAGCTCCAGAACCGCAACGCCCAGGGCCAGTGCTTCTGTAACCTGGCGTTCGCGTGCAGCCAGCTCGGGGACCACGAGGCCGCGGCGGAGAACTACCTCCACGCTCTGCAGGCGTTCCGCGACACAGGTAAACCCAGCCCGCAGCGACCACCGTGCCACCCCCACTCTGCACCCCCCTTGTCATCCCACACAGCTGCCTTGTGCCAGCCCACGTGAAGCTGCGCCATCCCACACTGCCTCCTCGTGCCATTCTACACAGTGCTGCGTCATTCCGCATATAATGCCCATGACATTTCACGCAGCGTCCATGGGCCATCTCGCACAGCATCTCCGTGTCATCCCACACAGGAAGCCCATGCCATCCCACACAGCATATCTGTGTCATCCCCCCCCCCCCCACACAGCGCCGTGACATTACCTCCACCATCAACCAGTGTCAATTGAGTCCGAATTATTTATTTTAGTCTTTGTCTCATCGACGACAACCTGTGAAATATTAGTCAAGTCTCAATCTGTGGATTTCATGGAGTTATTCTGCTCGTTTCGTCCACTCAGGAAATATTTTTAGTACAAATTTATAGTACAAATTACCATGTCTGGTCCCGGTTGCTCAGTGCACGGCTGTCTATATTAATGTCACTAAATTATCTTAATCTTCGTCTTTATTCAGACTTGCTCGTTCCGTTCCATCATAGCCAGTCGCGCCTAGGCCTTTGGTGGAGCAGTAGTTGTAGCCACTATCGTGCTTGGCCATTTTCGTCCACTCAAGGTCAAATATTGTAAACGATTATATTCTCCAGGAATAGAGCTAGAGTCTGTCGCCAGGGAAAGGGAGGTCTGGACCGCCCTATTCAACATGTTACAGCTGCGACCCTCACCAGCATTAGCGGATTGAGAGACGAACGAACGAACTATATTTTCATCACTTCTTTTTCTTTCGTATGGCCGATGTAGATGCAGAGACACAACTACTATTTCACATTCAGGTGGTTTAGCCTGATTTTCATCACAAAGTTGAATCAATAAACTTAATGCTGCTATAAATACACACCCTGTGCTGGCTTCTGACGATAATGACACTGCTGCCCTTCGCAGGGGACGTGCACGGCCAGTGGCAGGCCAACGAGGGCCTCGGGGCGGCCAAGTTCCGGCTGGGGGACCCGGAGAAGGCCGTCTCCTGCTACAAGCAAGCACTGGCACTGCTCAGCCAGGACAAGGTGCGTCCGGGCAGCCAGCCAGGCCCCTTTGTCTGGCTTTGAGCACAAGAGCACAGCTCCTTGGGGAAATCTTCTTCTGTTATAAATGAAGTGTAAAAAATATACGACCTAAAAGTGTCCCGTTATGAAACTATTGTAAAGGTATCGTGCAGTAGGTAGTATTGGAACTGTAAGCCAGAATATTAACTCAAAGCCCTCAGTGGATTCACAAATGGCTTAAGATTTACATGACAAGCCACTAAACAAGTATGGTTTTAAAGGGGGGCTGAAGAAAATGTGTGGGGGAGAAAAGTAGATAAACAATCATTGTCTTGATTGAACGATCAATGTGTAGAGGAGTGAAATATGTGGTGCGCACAGTTAACCGAGGGCAACTGAGGGCAACAGGTGTGCGTGTGCAACGTTAGGTTTGCACCGACAAACTGCCAGTAATTAAGGGAAGCAACAGAGGTCGAGCAAGTGCACGTGCTGCGACCGGAGATTGCTGTCAAAGAGGTTAATTGATGGGCCAACAGGCATTAACCTGGTGAGAGCTAAAGAGACGCACAGGAGGTTTCGGTTAATTAGCAGAGTGATATAAAGTTGTGTGCGTGAGCGGAGAGGGGGTTGTTGCTGGGAACCAAGAGTGAAGACATCTCACTGCTGCCGCTCCAGGGGCAGCGGTGGAGATGTAGAGCTGCTGTGTGCGAAGCTGCTGTGTGCGGAGACGCTGTGTGCGATGACGCTTAGTGCGGAGCCGAACACACTACACATATCTTATACAAAACAACACCATCTCTGCTTTTTTTCAGAACAGTTCTTGATGGAACCTTACAAATGCCTCCTTGCCTCTCCAGGTAGCGGCTGGGGATGCCCAGGAGAGGATTGTGGGTAAACTTACGGATGCCATTCAGTACAGAGTGAGCATCTCGAAAGCCATGGGACAGCAGATGGGATACGTGCTATCCCCCTCCGCGGTGCGTACACCACATGCACCCTCGCTCACGTCATACAGGAGCAGCCGCAGAAGCCTCCGGAATGTTTTACGAACTGGAACCTAGTTTTAACAATGCTCTCAACCTTGCCTGATCCATCAGCTCGGGAATACCGAACATGTGACCAAAATTACCGTTTACGACAACAACCGCCGTTTGCCGCTAAGTAGCGGTGACGTCACGACGGCGCTTGTGCCATGCTCGGTGAACTTCGATGCCACGTAAAGTTTACGGCCACATATATACACGCAATGTGGTACTTCCCTGCTCTTTGTGAGCAGCACACCTTTGCGTGCTGTTGAATGTATTTGTTTCCTGCCATCATGCAGTTCCCTGTTGTGATGGGTGTTTTCATCATTGATAAAGAGAGTTGGATTGGAAAAACTGAGAGAGTTGTACCATGGAGCTCACTGTTAGTTCCATGCAATAGTGTGGTTTTACATCAGAGGTGGGACACAAAGTTATTGATGGCCAAATAGGACTCTCAAATACTCAATACTTTCGTCAATTACATTGACCCTTCTTCACATGAAGAAGGTACAATTTCCAAAATGTTGCCTGTTGTATAAACTGTACATGTATTTTATATTTTATGGCAATGTTATTGCTGCATTTCTTGAGTCTTTATTTCCCTACTTATGCATCACTCCCAACGCAGTATAATTTTTTATTTCTCAAATGCTGTACCTTTGGAGGGTCATACATTAACACAAACCCAATTCCCTTCTGTCACTGCAAGAAGTCCTGACAATTACAGGAGCACACTAAAATTATAGACAGTAATTCTAGGTCAAAAAATTTCCCCTTCTAGTACCTGATTAGTGCGGCTACCACATTTGCAGTAATGAATATGTACACTTTATGGGCCATTTCGAAGATGTAGGTCTCACGTGACCATGAACCGTATTTAATAAGTTAATAGACATTGGTTCCCTACTTCTGCTGTCCGGTCGCCTTCCAAAAAATAAATCCTTACAAGTTTGATTGGATTATAGCCATACCAGGGGCAGAGAGATAGAACGATAAACAAGCAGGGGTGATAGAAGTTGCTATTCTAACGCTAACGCTTGCGGATATCAAAATGCTGCTTGTATTTTGGGTCGCGCAGGTGAGACAAGAGATGACCCAGTCGCACACCTACCTCATGCCTTACGGGTACCACCTCCAACGGGCGCAGCCAATAAGGTACGGACACCGCGTTTACGGTTATGACAAAGCTTCTTGGCGGCATCGCTCATGTTTCGTCCGTTGAGGGGTTACATAAGGGTTCAAATGTCAATGTGCGATGCCCATCTTGTGCTGTGGTCAATCTGTGCTTCACCAACAGCCGCCACCTACTTCCACACTACATGAATATTTTGCATAGAATAAGCTCACTGGTAAAATCTATGTTAAGTATGGTATGACCCGGAATGTACCCAATCTCGTTAGATGTCGGAAGCTAAGCAGATTTGTGCCTGTTTGGTTCGGGTGGCCACCACGTGCAAACAGGTAGTCATAGAGGTTGCGTGCTGTGTGGGCGGTAATAGAGGACAGAACAGCAAAATATGTCCTTAAGCTATACATATGTAGAATAGTACTTCTTGACACCAAGGAGGATTGTCGAACCAGACGGAGACAAGGATTCTTACTTAAGGCTGCTTGCCGTTTATTCACTCATACACACTCTGTCCATTGTACTCTCACTGCTTGTTTCCACTCTCTGAACTCGACGCTTACACCCGTTATGGCGCACATCAGAACTCTGTCCTTTACACGGACATCCCTTCATTATCTATGCCCGGTATGGGTCCCCTTTGTCAACCCCCTCGTCTGGCCTGGGCGGGGGATCACCCAACACCGCCCGGCAACAAGGTGAGACCTCTACATCTCGAGCCTTCTTCGGCAGCGGCTGGGCTGTCGTCCACGCAGGCTGTCGTTCCTCTCTCTCTCCCAACGATGGTGACCTCACTCTCCCAACGGCGACCCAGAGCTCACGCACACTCCTGCTCATATATCCCTCCTCATTCTGAGTCCGCACGTGCCCCCACTTAGGCTGCCGTCTCCATGGCGCCCCTCGCACTAGCTAATCCTTATCATCACCCCCATCTCCAATCTCTACGGCGCCAACCCCGTGTTCCCACGCACACACCTGTTCGCCCCCAATTGCCCCCACTCACAGAGAGACTTGCGCAAGGTTGCATCCTGCATTCCCTTGCACGACCTTTCCACAAACTCACACTTTCCCGTGCTCGTCTCTCGTGGTGCTCCTCCACTGGCGGTGCCAGTTGGGGGGGGGGGGGTGGCACATGCCCCCCCCCCCAATGATCCGATCGAAATCCCTAATTTCGATCGGATCATTTGGGTTTATTAGTAATAAATCGGCATTTTGCGATCCCCACTGCAACTGTGTAGCATATTATTACGTGCCAGATGCTAGGACAATAATCAGAGTCCATAATTGGCGATAAGTAACGGCAAAGCAGTTATAAGTGACTCACAGAATTGTGCGCAGTTGCGTATACAGTCCACGACTTCCCTGAAGGCATACCTTCAGCGAGCGCGATGCCGATCACACAACGCGGTTCAAATTCGACCCTCGATCGATGGCTGCGCCATCGCCGCACACGCGTCAAATAAAAAGCAAGGGACAAGTCCTTACTTACTAACAACACCTCTATGATTTTTCATTGCTAGAGGGGTTGCCCCCCCCCTACCTGAAAATGCTGGCTCCGCCATTGTGCTCCTCTACACATATATAAATACCTCCTAGGACAAATGCATATTGGAACACGTTACAACTTTCGTGCATATGCATGATTTTTCTGAACTTGTTAGATTAATTCCCATTGTGCCTCAACCTCTCCCTCGCCAGCAGTGAAGGAGGCGGGCGTGGTGTGGTGCATGTGGATGAGCTGCGAGCCGTGGGGTCGGTGGGCAGACACCCTCAGGGCCCTGAGGATGATCCCACAAACAGGACGGCCCCTACCCGAGTCTTCCCTGGCACACAGTGAGCAATGTTATCAAGCCTAATATTTCTAAGTTACTCATGAATAAATTATAATACTGCAACTATCATACTATGTGCTAAAGCATAGTATTATTGGGGTGGATTGGTGGCACAGTGCAGCACACTGCACTATAAACTCGGCAATCTGTATCTGATCCTCACCCGTGTTGCAAGTGATATCTGAACGGGTTTTTGGTGGCCCCTTCACCAACCGGCACTCATCAATGCGGAGAAGTATAGTCAAACAGCTCCCATGATCGACACAGCATGGAGAGGCCTTCATCCAACAGTGGATTGATGCATTACAATTTGCTATTATTGCACACAGACGTTTTAATCTGCAATTCAAACAAATATGAATGTATTTGTCATATGACTGACTGATTACAGCAGAGGCGCTGTTGGTGTGGGGGGTGAACTCCACCAGGGCCTACGGTATGGCCCGGCAGGGCCCGTCCAGAGGCTCCTCATGCATCAGCCACCCCACAGTGGCCTGCAGAGGCAGCTCCCAAGGGCTGCTCCTGAGAATGGACATCACGCCCGCCCAGCCACCACCTCCCACCTACCTTCCAGGTCACTGTCTCCACATGCCCCATGTCTCCTGCTCCTGCCACCATCAGGGCTTAATTTCTCACTGAATATTTTCCGAGTTCCTGGTAAACCTGGAGGTGGCATGTGACTATTAGCTACAGCTATGGCAATAGATATAATGGATGTGATGTGTTAGCCGACACGGACACACCCAGATTAATTTAAGCCCTTGCCACGATGTTTCCCTGAGACCTGCATTGTGAAACTGAGCCTCAGTACCATTGCTTGTTTATCTTATCGGGATTTTGTAAAATGTAAAAGAATATAATTTCAAACACGATGCCCCATGGCTGGGTAGTATTCTCAATTTAAATGACAAATGCTATACATCGTTCATCCATTTTATTTAAATCTTGTCTCCACAGCTCCTTAAATGACACCTACCTGGTCCCTGACCCTGCCACACTGTTTCATCAGGCATCCAGGCCACAGGCAGGTGAGTCTATGTCTCCACCAGCAGTACATTTCATGCCACCTTCACCAATCGACCAAAATGGCCAGTATTGACTCGAAGATGTTTGATTTGTATTTTGATTTAAAGCTTTCGTGACTGCAGTAATTCATATTCTTAGTTCTTTCGGTAAAGTCACGTTGAAGGGAAACAACAAAATAGTAAAATATATATAAAACAATAAAAATTCTCACTACGTTTCGACCATAACACAAACGGTCGTCTTCAGGTGTGTTGGTTTGCATCAAATGCACCGTTTAAAAATAAATGTATGCAAACCAATACACCTGAAGACGACCGTTTGTGTTATGGTCGAAACGTCGTGAGAATTTTTATTGTTTTATATATATTTTATTATTTTGTTGTTTCCCTTCAACGTGACTTTACCGAAAGAACTAAGAATATGTTTGATTTGTGTTTCATTAGCGGTGTCATCAGTTGAATGGCTGGGACATCCTTAGCTCCCTCTGTTTTCTGCAACTAGAATTTGGTTATTCTTGACGTGGTGAACTAAAGTTAAAGAATCATTGGTTAATTCAATAAGTTTCAGCTGTTCTCTTAAACCCTCCAGTGATGCCCCTATGCGAGCATTTACACGTTTTAAAATGGAATAGCTCATTCTCCTCTCCTGCCCCCACAGTCTGGAACTTCCTCCCTCCAGCTGCCCAAATTATCGACTCCCTACCCCTGTTCAAGTCCATGCTCAAGACCTGACTTTTTTCATCTGCTTAATACGAACTGTCTCTATGTACACAACAGGGACATGCGGTCAGGGGAGGAAGGGGAGGCAGAGCCTCACCTGTTATACTCCAATGACAATAGCTGTTTTCGAAAAGCAAAAAATTATAAAATAAAAATTAAGATTTTTCCACTGATCTGTGTTATGTCTTTTCTGTATGATTCAAATCATTTTTATAGTAAAAATTTCCAAATTTGCGGAGCTCCGCTGCAAATACAGGGAGACGAGAGGTGAGGCAGCGATGAGCTCAGCCTCCCCTCTGATTGCGCAACCCCTCAGAAACTGAATGGAGCGCGGGCAATAACCGCGTGCCTGTTACTATCTCTCTGTAATGATTGGAATCATACAGAAATTACATTTATAACACAGATCAGTGGAAAAAAATCTACATTTTATTTTCGTAACAGCTATTTTCATTGGAGTATGACAGGTGAGGCTCTGCCTCCGCTGCCGCCCCTGACCGCACGTCCCTGGTACACAAAATGATCCTTATTGCGGTACCCCGTTGTACCAAATAATAAAAAATGGCTGAGGCAATTAAATATTTTCTTTCTGGGACACTATTTTTTCCAGGGGTGTTACTTAACTCCGCGACTGGGGTACCAATCAATCCGAAATCAGTGCCACACTCCGCGATGTCGAAACGCAGTGAGGACGGTTGCGCTGAAACACTGAACGCTCGTATGCACCATAGTGCATCGTGTACAGCTCGTCGAGATACATCGATTGCCGCATCGCCGACCATCAACAATGACTGCATCACGGATATTATGCGAGAGCCGGGGTACTATGGTACCCCGGGGTACTGCCATAAGGTTCATATGCCCATCACATTGTATTATTATTGTAAATCATGGGAACTTTAACACAATTTCCACTACAGATGGATTGGATGCTTCTTGTCTGTTGTTGAGACTGATCGTACAAAAAAGATGATCGGTAGAGTAAACTAAAGCAACCCAATTCTTCACGACAAAATGCACAAGCAGACATCTTTCTTGGGTGATTAGCAGCAATGCTGCGCGTCCCGCCGTGTGTGTGATGGTTGGGCCTAGCAACAGGCTCGTCGTGGGGTACGGAAGAGCCCCCCTACTCCACCATCCGGTCCCAGCAGATGGCAGGGCCAACAGAGAGGCCACCGGGGCCAGAGAGAGGCTTGACCGAGGACCCCATCAACCGTGAGGATCGGTGAGTGGGATAGTGTCCACTGTGGTGGCTGATTTGACTGGGTGGCATGCTCGCCTACCAAGCCAAAGTTTACACAAATTCACGATTGGGTCGATTCCCAATCAGCTGCCTGGAAATGTTTTAAAATTATTACAAAATCATGCTACCTGGTGTGTTAAAAACCCATGCTTTACATTGCTCCAGTGCCAATCATTGCATTTTACTGCTCCACATATAACATAACTGTTTAACACGTAGGCTTTCGCGACCAATATCGTCCACCACCACCCGACACAGCCAACTAGTAAGGGTTGTCACTTAAACAGAACATGCCAATTCGTCACTAGTAGAGCACACCAGTGTGTTGGAGAGCCAAGCCACAACATTTACAATCTGGGTATGACGTTTCACCAGTAATTACAACTAGCTTCATCAGGTGACAGCCAGATTTGTGGAGAAGTCTAACTGTTTCGTTCCTTATAAAGAAGCATAGATGTGGTGACTACGCTTCTGCGCTCTTGTGCCAAGTGGGGGGGGGGGGATTACTGAGTTAACCTATATTATGTATGTGGAATATGCGAGCCCTTTCATCTCGTCCTTCCTGTCTATTGTGTATATTAAAGTAGCCCTACCAACGGAAATCCCTATTGAAGTATGCTGCCTTTCATAGGCATGCATTTGAATAATGTATTGTTTGATGATTCGCTTCCACGCAGCACTAAGACGGTAGCTATCCGAACAGTTAAATTATTTTTATTTCTTTCAATTTCGATAGATTCTCGAATTAGTCTTGGCCAGTAGTAGCTAGTTTTGCACATAACTTCAATATTATCAAAATCAATTGAGTGTCCTTGTTGGCACGCGTGTTCTGCTACTGCTGATAGTTGTATTTGCGAAAATTTAATATTTCTCTGATGGTCTTTTAGTCTCGTGCTGATCATTCATCCTGTTTGCCCAACATAACATTTACCACACGTGCGGTCAGTCCTGTACACACCTTCTGTTGACAGCTTTGTACCGTGCCAAATCTGACTCCGATGTTTTGTTTTTCCAAACATCTGGCTAGTTTCTCAGTTACTCCCGCAATGTACGGTATTTTGATCATTATCAAATTCACTCAAATGATTTTGATAATGTTGAAGTTCTGTGCAAAACTAGCTACTACTAATTAGACTTATTAGAGAATCTATCGAAATTGAAAGATGTAGAAATTATTTTAACCTTTCGGATAGCGACCGCCTAAGTGCTGCGTGGAAGCGAATCATCAAAAAATACATTTGTAGTCTATTTAACGGAGACACACACTTGAACTTGGAGACAACACGTTTATTCTACAACCCCAACAGGGTAACTACATAACGCACAATGATAGTTAACGAGACCCCAACAGGGTAACTACTTAACCGGGTCGGGGCCAGTAACGTACTGCCTGACCCACAATGCCGTACGTGATGACCGAAGATCGAGGAGACGTAGCACAGTGGGTTGATTCCAGAAGACAGCCACGATCACTCTCGGGACTTCCTTGTTATGCTCCCAAGTGTGGCCTTGCTCCGTCTTTGGCCACGCCCCCTTCTGGCTCTTGCCAGAAGGTTCTCGACCAAGCATCACGTGTCCCTCGAGCCCCCTTTTGGGACCCCTCGCTACCCTGTCCCGGTCATGTGCCCTCGCGAGTCCACCCAGACTGTCACATCCTTACTTGCCCTCTCTCAGACTGTCACCAGAACTATGCCCCCGAGGGCCCGCTTCCATGCCATACCCACTCTGGTGCCAGAGAGAGGCTCAGACGTACAGTTCCACTCTTGTGACAGTAGCTGGCGCGAAACACCATAGTGACTCCATTTATGTCACTACACATTATTTAAATGCATGCCTATAAAGGACAGCATACTTCAATAGGGATTACCGTTTGTTCGGCTATTTTAATCCACACAATGGACAGGAAGGACAAGATCAAAGGGCTCGCAGAATGCACATGCATAATGTACGTTGACTCAGTAATCCCCGCCCCCCCCCACTTGGCGCAAGAGCGTAGAAGCGTGGTCACCACATCTACGCCTCTATATAAGGAACAAAACAGTTAGACTTCATTAGACTTCTCCACAAATCTGGCTGTCGCCTGAAGCTAGTTGTAATTACTGGCGAAATGTCATACTCAGATTGTAAATGTTGTGGCTTGGCTCTCCAACACACTAGTGACGAATTGGCATGTTCTATTGACGTGACAACCCTTACTAGTTGGCTGTGTCAGGTGGTGGCGGGTTTTAACGACATTTTTATATATTTACGCGATCTAACCCAAAAAAATCTCTATTATGAACATAACTGTTATTATTTTTTTAAATTCTTGTATTTCAATTATTTTGCCTTGAGGAAATTATTTTGTTTTTATATGTCATATTTCTTAGTGTTGGGCATTCATTTAATTGTAATTGTTTATAAGGCATTCTGAATCGCCTCGTTCACGTGAAGTGCGCTTTAAAAAATAAAGGTTCACTGAATTGATCACCGCTGCCGTCACGTCTGTGCATAGCGACAGAAGGCCGTCCGGGAGTAGCGGACATTCTGGCAGCTCGGGTCGGATGTCGGGCGGAGAACTCCACACCGGCCGCCGCCGCCGCTCCCGCATGTGCCTCCTCATGTGAGGCCCTGCAGCAGCGCTGGCTCCCCTGGTTGCCCACGCGGTGTCGCAGGAAGCTCACGAGAACAGTGATGTAGCAGCCTGATGCGCCGATGACGAGAGGGCATGTGGCCAAAGATGGTTTGACTCATCATAAACACATCGTGCTGCCCTGAGCCAATGTATTTTTGCTGGAACCAGATCGCAGCAGGTGATCTGATAATGGGAGTGATTCAACTTGGAGGCCACTTATAAGCAAAGGGAGTTGACTGCAGCCCATTTAATTTTGCCTCATAGCGAATCTGAGTCAGTCCTTGTTTCCGAAATGTACTACTATAATGAGCCAAGAATGTCTGTGTGTCCCGTGCGTGACGTCACTCCACGTCGGCCAGCCCCCCTCATTAATACTCATGAACAGGTGGCGTCCTCCACATGGACCCCCACCCCCTCATTAATAATCATGAGCGGGTGATGTCACTCGACAAAGTAGCCCCTTCTCATTAATAATCATGAGCGGGTGACGTCACTCAACATGGGGGGGGGGCGAGGCGCCTCCTCCCCCCTCCTCAGCATCAACTTACAACCCTCACTACAAAGGCAGAACCCTCAGGTCACGCGATCTCCGTAACGCTATTGAGACATAGAAGTAAAAAGGACGTCATGATGAACAAGGGATTATAATGTTAAAATGAAATAAGTCTGTGTCACCGCGGCCTTACAAATTGTACACGAATTGATGCAATGAATATCACGTCGCGGTCTGATTTTCGCTTGCAAGTTTCAGATTTACTGAAATACACCTGTCCTTGAACGGGCAAAAGGCTAGTTATTGAAGAAAGTCTGACTGTGCTTGCAAGCACAAAGCTGGTATCTCAGTTTGAACTGAGCTGGCAATTTGCCGCTCTTTGCCAGCGATTACACAGCGATGGTGCTGACCCCGGCACCTAAATATCAAACATAGTCAACAGCTGCAATTGTAAATATTTACACCAATGTGTGTCAAATATCTTCCATTGAGCTTGGATGCGTAGAGTGTTCACCAATGCAATACACTTCCATTCGGGGTTGTACAGCATCTAAATGCGACTGCATCTTTGGACGATGTACAGAAACTGGACATATATATTTTATATAGAGGGGCAGTCAGTCATAGGTAGAGGAAAAACGGAAGGTCTGGAGCCTGGACTTGAAAAGGCGCAGGGAGTCGACAGCACAGGTGACTGGGGGAAAGAAGTTCTCAACAATGGCGGCTAAAAAGGAGAATGACCAAGTTAAACCGCACAAAAAAATAAAAAAATAAATTTAAAACACATACCTATAGACATCAATTACTTTATTCAAGTGGTGTGTATAAGTGATCCTTATGGCGGTACGCCGGAGAACTAAATAATACAAAATGGCCGAGGCAATTAAATATTTTATTTCAGGGACACTATTTTTTTTCCAGTGGTGTTACTTAACTCCGTCGTCGTCGTCACACGGCGTCACAAAAAGTGAGACCCCCCTCAAATATGACGTCACAAAGCTCTGTTCCCCCCCCCCCCCAAAAAACATTTCCATTTTGAAAATAAAACATGCTTCAAATCGCTTTAAACTATTGCCATTGTAGTGCGTATTTAATGTGGCGCTGCACTGATGCTGTAGGAGTGTTGTTATAACAATTCTACATTTATTTAAAGCTGCGCATTTTGATGTGACGTCACATTACTCAAACCCCCCCCCCCCTCGTCACACATCGTCACAAATGTCTGACCCATCCCCCTAGGTGCGTGACGTCATTTATGGACGGACCCTTTCCACTTGCGGCTCTTTGGCTGTCCCTTTGCGGGCAGCCGTTTAAAATAAAAACCTTAAATATCAAAGCATAATTTAACGTAAGAATGTGTTCAATGTGGCGGGGAATGGGTCACTATCGAATGTCTTGGCGACAAAATGTATTGTTAAAGAATAACTTGAGAGGGGGAAAAACACTCAATAGACGCAGTTCATTCCATCACCGATGTTTCATTAAGAATTTGTTAGTGATCAGCTTTATACCAGCTGCTGTGTTTGTGTAAAAGCAGCTCTGCGTGTGACAGGGTTATCGAACTATTTTAGTAAAATACAAATGGCCCTTCTTATTTGAAAGGTTGCCGACCCCTACTCTGACCAGACATGGGTTTTACAGTTTAACACGTAGGCTTTCGCGACCAATATTATTCATAATAAAGGTTTCTGGGTTAGATTGCGAATTGCCCGACGTTTCGCTGGTAATTACATTCAGCATCAACGGGAAATTCGCCCGATGATGCTGGATGTAATTACGAATTGCCCGATGATGCTGGATGTAATTACCAGCGAAACGTCGTACTACTCAAACTGTAAATGTTGTGGATTCACTCTTCAACAACACACCGGTGGGCTAAAGTAGTGAACTATTTGTCTTTTGTCAACGTGACATTTTTTGCTGATTGGCCGTGTCGGGTGGTGGAGGGTTACGACACATTTATAAATAACGCGATCTAACCCAAAAACCTTTATTATGAATGGGTTTTACATTGTACGAGGTGTCCAAAATATCGGTACATTTATCACAACGTCCCACTATGTTGTATCAATAAAGTGTTCTCTGTTTCCTGACAACAGCTTCACAGAGTCTCAAGGATACTTCATAACATGCCTAAGGATATTTGGGCAATGCCCCCTTTTAGTGTATTTCTGCAACTTGAAGGAAACATTAGGCTTTGAGATAACTCTCACAATATCAGGAAACATCGCTCTCAAATTAATCTCAGTGGGCTTGTTTACGCGCTTTTTCCATCCTTTGGTTCTATTTTATTTTTTCAACGTTCAGGTTTGTTTTAGCCATACGTCCTAGCCAAGGCCATAGCCATGGAGTCAACATTGGGGGTGGGGGGCCCAAATCTTCCAGGGGGTCTGGGGGTCTCCCCCAGAACAAAAACATCTCAATTTGAAAACTAATTTCCTACCTAAAATAAAAATGTCACTAATACATGGAATGGACTTTTTTTTTTACACAATGTCTAATAGTGTATTGTATGACATTGTTGTTTTATTTTTTTACATTGTTTCATTTTATGTAATGGCAGAGATTAGGGATTCATTAAGTACAACCATAACCACAATCGCATGAACATAAATCTATGCATTGTTATATGAAGACAATTTCAGATATTGTGGCCAAGGTTTAGCAAGTTGTTTTTATTTACATAGCATCGTAATTTTATTTTTATAAATATTGGGGCGGGGGGGGGCATTTTGAGCATATATATTATAATTACGGCTTTGGTCCTAGCACAACCAAAATAAAACGAAGAGCCGTTCTATTCGAATTCCTTCAAACAAGCTGAACATTTAAAGAGCTGCAATATTGGCACGTGGTGAATTCCAGACGAGGATCCTTCACGTCACGAAGCAGTCCTTGAAAGAAACGCACGCGTTTCTTTCAAGTTTACAATCAATGTATACGGCTCCGTAGCCGTATACATTGATTGTAAACTTTGTTATTGACGAAGTTGTTCAATGCTTTGACCAATCAATTGCTTCGTCTTAAGAGTGGGGGGGGGTGTTGTAATTGTAACAACAGGGCCCACATGCAATGTGGCGCGAACAGAAATCACCACACGCGGAATCTATAGCGGCGGTTTTGTTTGACGATTCAGAGTCGACAACGCCCACGTTCTTCTAATAGATGGAGATTGACACCACCCACCGGGAGGGGGGGTAGGCCTCGATCCGGCCACGCGAATCGACGAAGCAAAAATCGAGAAATATGAAAGCCGAATCGATTCCATCGTGCACCCGCCATTTCGCGAGACGGCGGTAATGGCGAGCGAGGAGGTCGCGGTGGCGGTGAGTGAGACGAAGCGAATCGGCGACCTTCGCGTCGTCGACCTCAAGTCCGAGTTAAAGAAGAGGAACTTGGACGTAAGCGGCGTGAAGAGCGTGCTGGTGGACCGGCTCAGGAAGGTGCGCAGCCCCGGTTTTTGGCGATGATGGCGGACGCGGGAATGTTGAGGCCTAGACGAACGGGCTTCAACCGACGGCCCAATTAACGCGCGTGCCGCGTTTGACCACTAACTTGTGCGATTGTGATCACACTTATTACACACATTAATGTTGCTTTATTTGTCGGCGTGGCCGTGGTATCTTGTAATGCCTTTGTCCTGGATTATAGCTTTGAGGTGGAGGCCACGCTGTTGAGTGAATGGGTTCACGTTGAGGAAGTAAGACTTATTTTCCAATAAACTTTTATGTTTATTTTGCTATTGAACTCGTATTGTTGCCGTGTGTGTGTGTTGGACTGCATTATTACGCCGATGAGCGGTGGCTTTGCATTGAGGCGGTCGCAATTCTGCACGTGTTGGCGGGAACGGCCCGGGCTATGCCAACTTCAACTAAAACCAAACGCCAGTCATACACGAGGAGTCCCGAATAGCTATTGATCATTCTGAGTTCATGGAAAATATACTTGAGCACAAAAGTGCTCAGAATGGGGACTTAAAGCTTTCGTGACTGCAGGAATGAATAAAGTCACGTCGTAGATAAAACAATAATAAAAATAACGTGACTACCGAAAGATCCACAGAATATGGGGACGCAGTGTTTTGCGCATGGGTTCGATTTCTGGCCACGGTTAACATCAGTAGCGAGTGTGGGTCTGAACCGGTCTCTACCCTCAACCCCTTTACCAACCCGCACTGATCAGCAAGGTTAAACACATTATTTGGTGACGCTGCTGCGTTGGCAGTGGTGTGCGAGCACAAACAAATTCTAAACAGATTTGTCAAGAACACTGGCCTTGAAAAGGGGATGTTGCGGGCTATATGACCTTTCATCACAGCACGTGTGCTGCCCGAAAGCCCGCACTCTGAAGGGCCATTGCCCAAAACACATGTTGCTGTGAAAAAGGTTAATTGCCTGAAACATCACCTAGTATATTTTTTTAATTCAGTTTAATTCACGAATGAGTTTTTTTTTGTTTATCAGCCTGGAGAAATTGACGTGGCGTGGGGGTGTCTTAATCCAACAGTGGATTCACACGGTTGTAAATTGTATATGTACTTTATTGTATATGTACTTACGGTATATAATCAGCACTACCTCCGCTATGTCGAACTTGAGAATCACAATCTTTTTTTAGACTGGAGGAATCTGATGAACCATACAACTCTTTCACAGATGCCCAGTATTTCACAACTTGGTTCGTACAGACCAGCTTGGCTGCCGATATGGTCCGTTTCACGACGTAAAAACATTTAATATATAAGGCCATTGACATGGCCCTTCTGAGCCCATGTTTTCCATCTACTGTATCTGCATTTAACAGTGCACTATCTGCTGAGTCTCAACTGCTGAGTCTCAGCAGATAGTGGCCTGTTAAATGAATGTACCTGGATTGTATTTCAAGCAGGAGCATTACACAAACGAAGTGGCGTAATTGAGTGTAATAAAGCAACATGGCACAACTTATTTACAGTCACCAACTGGAATATAGACCCTCGTTTTTCAAAATTGGTTAATTTAAATCACAAGCATAGTCGCAGTCACCCAGCAAGGTAAACCTCATCGTTGTTACCTTCCGCAGGTTGGTG